ATATATAAAAAAGGCTGAAGGTTTCACCAATGCTCAGGTTGGTTTGTGTAGAAGAAGTTGTCCTTGTCCAGCCGCTGACGACCTGTGCAGAGCCCTGGCCTTCACCAGCGTTTTCTTTTCCTTCCAGAGTCGCCTCCCGGGCATCAAGGTGAAATACCTGCTGGTGGTGTGGCTGGGCATCTTCGTGGGCAGCTGGGTGGCATACATGCATTACTCGTCCTACTCCGAGCTCTGCCGTGGCCACGTCTGCCGGATGATAATCGTGAGTGGTGGCCAGCAGCCCCCGTGGCCACGCTGGTCCCGGTTCGGGGTGCCGGGGTGAGCGGGGCTGTGGGAACCCCGTTTCCAGCCGCCCAAGCCCGGTGTGGTGCCTTGCAGCCGGGCAGGCAGCGCTGGGGCAGCATCCTGCACAAAAGCTGGGCCGAGGAGCCCTCCTGGCAGCTGCTTCCCCAGCACCGTCCCCGGCATCACACGGAGCTCGGAGTGGGAGAGGTGACCTTATCCTGCCAGGGCGACGGCGAAACAATTTAATGAGATGTCGGAGGGAAGCAGGCCAGGTCAGGCCAGGCAGACACGGGCAGATCAATGTCTGTGGAGATGAAGTTGCAATGTCAGGGCAGTGAGTGGGATCTGTGGGCAGGGAGAGCATCACGCCAGCCCCCCCAAGCTCTGCAGAGCCAGAGAAAAAAGGGGAGCAGCCAGTCCATGGGTACCTCTCTGTAACTGCTGATGTGCCCTAAGGAAAGCACCAGCCTGCACAAAGAGCAGACCCCTGGTGGGAGCTTGGCTTGGTGAGTTTTGCCCTTGCCTGGGGTTTGCAGTGGGGTGCAGCCTGCTCCCCACAGCATCCCCAGGGCCGGCAGCCAAGCGGGACCCCCCGGGACTGCTGTGTGTGCCCCATGCCAGGGGAGCAGGTTGCCCACCCAGCCCAGGTGAGGAGGGGGACGCCAGGCTCTCTCTGAAAATGCCTCGTTCTTCAATCTTTCAGCAGAGAAGGGAGGCAGGAATTGCCATAACAACAGCGATGATCGTTTAATTTGATTTTCTGCATGACTCTGACCACGGGGTCTTGGGTGCTAATTCCTGCTCTGAGCTCAGGGTTTAAGATGCCGTGTCTGGCTGTGTCCCCTGTGAGCAAGTCCAAGGGTTAATTCCCTTCCACGTCGGGGGGAAAAAAGAAAAAAAGAGGGGAAAAGATGCAGTGAATTTCTGCAGCTCCTGTTTCCAGCCCTGAGGCTGTTGTGCCCTCGCTGAGAAGCTGCAGAGCTGCAGCCTCTCCTGCCCAGGGATGCCTCCAGCTCCCAACCCATCCGCCTCACTTGCAGATCAGAGCCACCGTCTGTCCCTGTCCCCACCATCGCCTGGACCGGGGCCAGCCCATTTCACAGCAGAGGCTGCTGCTCTCCTGAGCAGCCTGAGCCTGTGCATCCTCATCCTCACCCAGCTCCTCGCTGTCCTCTCCTCCAGCCCTGGAAGCTCCCCTAATCCCCTGGACTTGCAGCAGAAGCACCCAGGAGCAAGTCCCCCATGGTCCCTTGAGCAGCACAGGGGGGCTCTGCCAGCCCAGCCCCAGCTTGCCCAAGGCAGGGAGCCCAAAGGGCCCTGCCTGCAGCCAGGAGCTCTGCCCACAGCTGCTGCCCGTCTGGCCGAGGCTCAGCCCCAGGTGGGCCTACGCACTCCCCTCCCCTTGTCTCCCCATTAAAGTCCTTGCTCTGGGGCCAGTAGAAATTGTTGGGTCTTAGAAGAGAGAAAATTTTGGGCTGGGATGTCTTTGGAAGAGAGAGAAAGAGTGGGGAGTTTGGGGGTGCTGGAAGGGGCTGGACTCTGAGCATCTGGCACTACGTGTCCCCGATGAAAGTCTGGGCACAAGGTGCTGCCCTCCCTCCCAGACACCCTGAACTGGACGAAATGGCTGCCAAGGTGCAGGCATCGTCCGAAGCCACCTGCACGCCGTGCCAGCATGGCTGGGCTGCCCTGTGGCTGGCAGCATCTCGGCAGCTGCCAAATCCAAGGCCAAAGTGATATTGGGGTGGTGACCCGGAGCAGCCCCTCTGTGCTTGAGAACCTCAAAATCCCAGGAAAGTAATAAATTGTTGGCAACTGGCGATACTGTTCTTGGCTTCAAGCAGCCTGTGTGGCTTTGCAATCAGATGTGCCCCTTTTAAGGGATGTTTTTCTCTTGTATGAGAGACTCGTGTGAACTAGGAGGAAACGGGCTCACCGGTGACGTGATGGCATTGGTGATGCTGTCAGGTACACACAGGAAATTGAAAAACCAAAGTGCCAGCCCCAGCTGTGCTGCAGGAACAGGGGGTGAGGAGTTTGGGCATGGCAGGTGATGGGCGTGGGGCTGGTGGCAGCATGGGAGGCTGGGGGCGGGGGGGACACACACTCGCATGCCCCCAGCTCATGTGCTTGGGGTGCTCCCGATCACGAGCTGTGGGAATGAGCCTGGATCCATCAGACTTCTTCGGGTGAACAGGGAGCTGCCCCCACTGAGCTCCTCTCTCTGCCTTCCCCTCCCCAGTGTGACCAGTACAAGAAAGGAATCATTTCTGGCTCCACGTGCAAAGACCTGTGTGAGGAGCGCAGCCTCCTCTTCCAGCACTGCCTCTCCTCCTCTCCCACCCAGCAGGTAGGTCTCTGCCCCGCCGGGGAAGGCATCGCGTGGCAGGGGATGGGTGCAAGCATCAAACCTGGGAAATGTCCTCCTCCACCCACCTGCACATCTGCTCCTCACCCCGTCCCTGGTACCCGTCCTGCACCGAACCAGAAACCAGTTCTCTGCACTTGCTGTTGTTTTCCTCCTGTCTCGGCCATGTCCCCTCTCCTTTGCCGTAGGTTTACAGCGGGCTTTGGAGGGAGAGGGGGGTGATCATCAAATGCGGCATCGAAGAAGCCTTGAAGGCAGACAGCCACCCAGACTCTGTGCCCAGGAGGGACGTGGTCCTCTTTGACAAACCGACACGAGGGACATCGATGGATGAATTCAAAGAAATGCTCCTCAACTTCCTGAAGGTCAGTGCGGAGGGTCCCGCCGGGGGCCTGCGATGCCACTTGTGAGTCGGAAGGACTAATCGTGCCTTTCCTTCCCCTTAATCGAGAGCTCCTCGGGCCCACGCCCCTCATCAGCAGGGCTCCTTACCATATACTGCAGAGCAAGTACTGCATTAGCTGAGAAAAACCTCCGTTCTCGCACAGGAATTCTTATTTGCAAGATTTTAGTAGCAGCAACCCTGGAGGCTGCTGTACCGCGGCTGTGGGTCGCATCTGTGCTGGGCAGAGCTCATTCACAAGCCCGCGGT